TCATAAAGGTTTTCGGGAGGTCCAAAGGTGCATGGCTTTTCACTTTAGAATCTTTTGGAATCCTTGGAATCTGATAAAATTCATCATGATCTACAATATTCCAAGTGCCAGAGTTTGTTGCCTCTAATGGAATCCTTGGAGTCAGCGGTAATGCTGAAAAAGGCGTATGGAGACCATAGGGGTTTTCGGGAGGTCCAAAGGTGCATGGGTTCTCACTTTACAATCTTTTGGAATCCTTGGAATCTAATAGAATTCATCATGATCTACAATATTCCAAGTGCCAGAGTTTGTTGCCTCTCATGGAATCCTTGGAGTCAGCGGTAATGCGTGAAATAGCGTATGGAGACCATAGGGGTTTTCGGGAGCTCCAACGGTGCATGGCTTCTCACTTTACAATCTTTTGGAATCCTTGGAATCTGATAGAATTCATCATGATCTACAATATTCCAAATGCCACACATTGTTGCCTCTCATGGAATCCTTGAAGTCAGCGGTAATGCTTGAACAGGCCTATGGAGAACATAGGGGTTTTCGGGAGGTCCAAAGGTGCATGGCTTCTCACTTTACAATCTTTTGGAATCCTTGGAATCTGATAGAATTCTTCATGATCTACAGTATTCCAAATGCCACACTTTGTTGCCTCGCATGGAATCCTTGGAGTCAGCGGTAATGCCTGAAAAGGCCTACGGAGTCCATAAAGGTTTTCGGGAGGTCGAACGGTGCATGGCTTCTCACTTTACAATCTTCTGGAATCCTTGGAATCCGATAGAATTCATCATGATCTACAATATTTCAAATGACACGCTTTGTTGCCTCTCATGGAATCCTTGGAATCGACTGGAAAAATCCAAGGTTTCCTTTTTGAGGAAAGTCAGCCAGGTCTCCGTAGTGTATTGTTGTTTGTTTTTTTATGTGTGTTTTGTGTTTCCTACTATACGATGGGTGTTTTTGTATCTGATTAATGTTCGTTTGGTTTGTTGTTTGTGGTATAATTCGTTTATATAGCGTTAATTAATTTTATTATTATTAATTAATTAATTTAGTAGTTAATTGGGTGAGTCATTTCGTGTAAGTTATTTTTCGTGTGTTTCATATGTGTTTTAAGGTTTACTTCGGATTGGATTGTAGTTCGAATTTTTGGACTCTAGCGTTTCCATTATCGACGATATAGAGATTCCCGTGTCGATCGAATGACAAACCGAAGGGCCAATTGAGTTGGTTCGATTGTTCTCCACTACCGTTTCCACCAACAATGACACTTCCTTGTGTGGCTCCTTTAGGCCATCGCATGATTCGATTATTCCCTTCATCAGCCACATAGACAGTGCCCAATTGATCGACAACGACTCCTTGAGGAGATGACAATCGGGTAAGACCATTTCCTTGTGCTTGACCACCAGCCACGACAATGCCGTATTTTGCACCTTCCATCCATTTCATCACACGATGATTGTTCCATTCTGATACGTACACTGAATGATCTCGATCGACGGATACGTATCGTGGGGAAGAAAGTTGATCGACACGATTTCCATTTCCATTGCCACCTGCAACCACTGTTCCTTGAGATTCTCCTCTTCGATATCGTCTCACTTCATTTTTTCCAAAGTCAGTGACATAGAGAGATCCATTCTCGTCCATTGTCAAACCCACACAATCGATGTTGGAGATGATTGTTTCTCCACTTGTCCCATTTCGACGAGGCCATCGAACCACTCTTCTATTCGAACGATCGCATATGATGAGACTATCTCTCTCTTTGTCGATAATCACATCTGTTGGGTTATACAGTTGATGATCTCCACTTCCTTGTCCATTTCCACCGGCAACCACTTGGCCACTTGTTGCACCTCGTTTCCATTCCACAATGCGATGATTCGATGTATCAGCAACATAAATTGTTTGATCATCATCAACATACAAACCCCATGGGTCTGAGAGTTGATTGATTCCATTGCCTTGTCGATTTCCTCCAGCTACAGTGATACCATTTTGTTGCCATCGAGCATTCAGATGAATGTTGGTGCTGGATGGAGAACGTAATGGATAGTCTAAAATAGAGACAAGAAAAATTATTAAACCAAGAGAGAGAATTTTTCTTTGCATAGAAGTCGAATTTTGTTACAAGACGAGAAACCTTTTGTTAGTCAAATTCTCAACTTTGTTAACAACAGTTATTTTTTTAACTCTTTTTTCTTTTTGTTTTTGTTTAGGATGATAGAGTTTTATGAGAAAGATGAAGTCATTGAATGAGAAATGTGGGTTTTCTTCTATGATTTTACAACTAATTCACGTATAAAAATCATGAACTGATCGAACTAGTTTTTCGATATGTTGCGATCATCTCTTTCTTGGAACCATGTCTTTTATTATATTGCTGATCTATGAAAAGTCTCTCGAATTTTTCAAACATTATTCTATGAATTATATATGACATATTTCTTGTTCTACTTTCATTTGCAATTATCTCATCAAATTGTAAATGCGACAAACATGCAACGTTCCTCCATGTAAACTCGCTTTATTCTCGATTAAATATTTGGCTCGTTTGCTATTTTATACTTCTTTGTAGCTCTCAACAAAGCTATTATCCAACATTTGAAAAAGCGTGTGTGTGGATGCTGGTACTAGTATCAAGCTTATTGTGCATGATGATATGCCTGTCTGTGTGAGGATTTTTGTCATAAATTCGTCTCATCAAACTGATACCCACACATCGATACTCAACAGAAATCTAAATGAACTACACACACTAGAAAAAAAAACAGATTATATTTACAATTTACTGAAAGGATCACGAACAAGGAGGGTAATCGACTGATTTACATCAGCTAAAAACTCAAAATTAAATCCGTTAAATCATCTTAACTCATTTTAAATCAGCTATTAACTCATTGTAACTCAGCATAAATCATTCTAAATCAGTATAGCTTTAAAAAATTCTTACAGTCGAAAAAATATACTCAAACTTGATATTTTTGTTTAATCACTATTTATGGTTTTTTTTTTCAAAAATTATTTAATTAAAATCAAAAAATTCATACTAGCATACAATCATTGAATATTTTGTTTATATCTTATAGCGTAGAATATATTTCGCTCTGTTCTACTAATATATATAGAAAACATGTGATACAATTGACAATAAAAATATTCTAACGAATGAATGCTTTTTTTCATTCTTATATAACTAGACTATACGTAGAATAAAAAAAACAGACAAAGAGAAAATTCTATCCACCTCGTGTATCTACACTGAAATGAAGCGATTCGAAATTTATATTATTTTTTTAATCTGTTCTCGTTCTTTAGATCGATTATTTTCATATGACCATTGTGACGGATTCTACCCGTCACTACTCTTAATGTTCTATTCATTAATCATTCTCTCTCGTTTTTCTCTCTCTGCTGGAATATATATATACTGCGTTCATAATATTATCGTTATTCATTATTGAAATAATCTCAGAACGAGTGAGTCGTTCCATCACACGTGGCGATCACACCAATCGAATTTTGGTTACATTTTTCCCTTCACTTTAGCACATTATTTTTTTTTTTGAAATTTTTCATCTTGTTCTTTGGTTTTTTTTTCTTATTATTAGTAGTCTTCTATTTTTCTGTCTTACATTAGCACGATCCTATTTTAACTACGACCGAATCTGATGGGTAGAAATTACATAAATATCTCACTAGTCTTCGAGATGAACTACAACTTGAAGCAACATGCACAACTTCTATCGAAACCACGTTGACCACCGTACAGTCCACAGTAACTCAATTCGAACAGAATTTCAATGAGAAAAGTAAATCATCTCTCCACAGCTCATGAATTAAAATATCAGCAATGAGATGGCACGATTCAACACCTACATACTCAATTTCAGGACTTTCGTACTTATGTTTCTACACAAATATCCGAATTAACGGCTGAAATTCGTGCAACACTTGCTGCTGTTCGTACTTCCTCATCCGTACCCTCTCCAACAACTCCATTACCTCCCTCTTCTTCTAATAACTCCATACACTCTCATTCTTTACTAAATGGTCCTTCTCCACAAGACACCTTACTCTCTCTCTCTCTCTCTCCCTGCACGACAAACAGTCATCATCCAACAACCTACAATAGCTCCTTCTTTTTCAGGCAAAACTGAAGAAAAACCACGTCCATTCCTCTTACAACTCCATCAATATACCAACTCATCTTATGGATGGGACAAAGAAATGTTACTTCAAAATATAGACCAATTTTTGAAAGGTACTGCTTTTGAGTGGTATACTCAAATCGAGCAAGAATGGAATAGATGCATTCAACGACCTGATGAATCAATCAACGTATTTCTCGTTCGTTTACGCAGTCTTTGGTCAGAACACAAACCGAACGAAACGGAGCGCCATCTTGTTAGACACCTTTTTACTAAAATTCGACCTGCATTAGCGATCCTACTCTTGAAAATTTTCTTGAGCGAGCCCGAGAAGCTGAACTTATTGATTTTTCTCGTTCCAAAAAAACATGTGCATATTGAAAAATCTAATACTACTATTTCAGCTACTCTTCATTCGTCAACTCGCTCCCACACATCTAATTCTCGTCAATCTCATATTATCTGCTATAAATGTAATATTCCAGGACATTTAGCATCCCAATGTACTCGTACTCAATCTTCCAGATATCCTTCAAATTCAAAAAACTAAGACGGAGTCTTACTGATGGGAGATGACGGGGCTCCGAAAATTATCTAAATAAAAAATCCTCTCTCTCTCTCTATTAGTTCTATCCATAATTCTTTCATTTCTTCTTCCCAACTATTACATGTCAATGGTACATTAGAAGCGTACCCAACAAAAATTACTATTGACACTGGCTCGAATTTAACTGTACTTAGTGTTGAGGCATTTCGTCAAATCGAGCAAAAGTCATGCAAACTTATCCCTATTAAATCTCCATCCCTAACAGTACGTTGTGCTAATGGACAATCTTTACGTACACATGATCTCTTCGAATTGAACATTTCTTTTTTCAATAAGACATTTTTACATCCAGTTTATTTTCTACCCCATCTATAACATTTCTGTATCATCGGCTTGGATTTTTTACGAAAACATGATATTCATGTCGGAGGTACACACGATCAAATTATTTTTCCGAAGCAGTCACAAGATACAAATTCTTTTGCATCTCAATCGCCATCTCTCGATCAGTATAACACTTATTCTCTTACCTCTTCCAATTCGTCATCCTACTCTTTAGCAGCTATTGAAGCACAGTCTTTACCTCCATACCACTCTATGATTATCCCTGTTCAACCTACGAAACCATTCTCTAAATTTTCTCCAGATGAAACATATTCCGTTTCTTCACTTCATGAAAATCCTCGTGTAGGCAATGGTCTTATCTCACCAAGTAAATCACTTTTTATTGAAATCTCAAATTTTTCTCATGATTCTATCGAGGTTCATCCTCAACAAAAACTAGCCGTTATGGCACTATTGACTGAACATCAATTGAATAGCATATCAAGATTATCTCATACACCTCATCATATTGAAGAAGAACAAATATGTCTCCCTGATTTATCCTATTCTGACTTAAACGATATTCAAAAAGCTAAACTAGTTATACTTATTAAACAATATCCACAAGTCTTCACCGAGAAACTTGGTCGGACTCATCTTGTTAAACACGTAATCGAACTTCAACCAGGAACACAATCCGCAAACACTCAACCATATCGTCTCCCCCATCTAAAAAAGCTATAGTCGATCAACAACTAGAAGAGATGCTCCAAGCTGGTCATATTACTCCTTCACATAGTCCTTGGGCATCTCCAATCGTATTATCCCCTAAAAAAGATGGTACACTCAGATTTTGTGTTGATTATCTAAAGTTGAATGCTAATACAATTCGTACAGCATATCCTATGCCTCAAGTTGACGATACCCTTGATTCACTCAGGGAAGCAGCGTTTATTACTCATCGCGGCCTCTATGAATTTTTAGTCATGCCTTTTGGACTGTCTAATGCTCCTGCCACATTTTAGAGATTAATGGATCTTATCTTAGCTGGAATAAAATGGCAGTCATGTCTTGTCTATATAGATGATATTGTCGTATTCTCTTCCACCTTTGAACAACATCTTAAAGATTTATCCTCTGTCTTTGATCGTCTCAAAACTGCTGGACTTACTCTTAAAGCCTCAAAATGTGATTTTTGTAGAAAAGAATTAAAGTACTTAGAACATATTATTACTCCTGACGGTATTAAACCTGATCCCGGTCTAATCGACTCCGTGAAACTTTTTCCTCAACCTACACGATTAAAAGACATTCAATCATTTTTAGGCTTAACTGGATACTACAGAAAATTTATAAAAGATTACGCTAAAATACGTTCTCATCAAAAATCTAAACGTCCACCAAATAACATAGAATGGTCTGTTGAATGTACTATAGCCTTTGAACGATTAAAAACTGCACTTACTCAGGCTCCTATACTTCGAGCTCCAAATTTTAATGAACCTTTCATTTTGGAAACAGATGCCTGTGATTATGATCTTGGTGCTGTCCTTACTCAAGAATATGATAACAAAAAAATTTGTTATTGCTTACGCTAGCCGAACTCAAACAGCAGCTGAGAGAAATTATTTTCCTACAGAAAAAGAAGCTCTAGCTATTTATTGGGCTACCAAACATTTTCGGCCCTATTTAAAAGGTACAAAAATCTATATTCGATCTGATTGTAGGGCACTACAATGGCTTCTTGAAACAAAAGATTCGTCTGGACGATTAGCTCGATGGGCAATAAGTCTATCAGCATTTAACATTGTTAGCATCAAATATAAACCAGGAAAAACAAATACAAACTCTGATTCATTATCTCGTTATCCTCTCTCTAATCTAGCTGTGTTAAATGGAACAACACCTACATCTACACTCAATTTTTGGGACAATTGTACTCTCCTCGAAAATATCCGAATCGAACAATATAAAGACCCTCACCTTCATATTATCACTGATAAATTATCAGGTCTCAGTCATCCCTTCATTAATAATCCCTATCCCTCTTCTACTCTAATTAACGGTATTCTCTATAAATGTCGATCTCCATCAAAAAATATCTATCAACGATCAGTCGGACTTCCTCACTTACTCGTTATTCCGAAATCTATGCAACAAGAACTCCTATCTTGGACACATGATCATCCGACAGCCGGTCATAGTGGTAGAGAAAAAACTCTTTATCATCTCTCAAGCCGAGTCTACTGGGATACTATGCGAAAAGATGTCACTCAGTATATTCAAAGTTGTCAGTCATGTCAGAAATTCAAATATTCTAATCAAATAATGAACTCTCCATTACAAATGCACATCGTTCGAGAACCATGGCATACTATTGGAGTGAATATTATGGGACCGTTTCCTATTACACAGCGTCAAAAACAATACTTACTGGTAGTTGTTGACTATTTTACTCGATGGGTAGAACTATTTCCTCTTAGAGCAACGACTTCATCTGATATCGCTAATATCCTAGTTAATGAAATTATATGTCGTTGGGGTTGTCCTACCTATATTCTTTCCGATAATGGTCCCCAGTTCATTTCTGAACTATTCACTAATATCTGTTCCTCCCTAGGCATTGAAAATAAAAATACTTCTAATTATCATCCGCAGACAAATATGACTGAACGAGTCAATAGAAATCTTAAACCAATGTTAGCACAATATGCTCAAGAAAATCCACAATCATGGGATCAACATCTATCGAAACTTGCTTTTTCTATTCGAACTTTAGTAAATGAAACAACAGGTGATACACCAGCATATCTTAATTTTGGACGTGATCCTAAATTACCTCCACACCTACTCCTAACCACACCGACTCATGATGTACCTCTACTTCCCACATCTCTATCCTTAGAAATCGAAAATTATAAACAACAACTTCGTCATCAATTACTTACATCTCATCAATTTGCTCAAGAACATAGTGAAGTACGCAAATTTCAGCAGAAGCATCAGTATGACAGTTATAGTTCTAAACGTTCTTTTAAAGAAGGACAACTTGTTTGGGTTAGCATTCCTTCAGTATTAAAACATGGAAAACTTTATCCTCAGTATCAAAGT